ATGCCTCTGCTCTTGCTTGTCCTGGGAAGGCTCTGGGAATGGCAGGTTGGCCATGCTTGTCTCACAGAATCTCCAACCTTGCAACTTGCAACTCCATGGGGGCCCCAAGTTGAAAGAGAAGAGAACGGGAAAACCAAATTCCACGTCATGTTTGGCTAAGAACACGCATTATTGAAAACCCGGGTTTGGTAAAGCCACTTCGCCGGCAAGCAGACATTAAATTTGAAAACGTGACAAGATCTGAGAAGTTGGGAAAGGGATACGCTAGTTGAAAAATCCTGGGAAACCAAGCGCAGCAGACACACTGAACCAGAAAACTGTTGGCAGAAAGTTTTTCTTTCAACCCAGCGATCCGCCCTGCCAAATGTAAATTTAAACTTCATAAGTATTCAGCATAAAATAAAATAAGATGGTGTGTTTTGGTTTGACCTGAGTATTGTGCATGCTGCAATGGTCTATAAACTCCTCGCTGTTTGCCTGCAAACCTGCGACGCCACAACGTCATTGGCTTGTCCTCCCAAAAGTATCTGGATTCTGCGACGCTTTCTGTATCCTGCACCCAATGACGCCATCTATCAATGCAATGCTTGGCTCACCTCTCGGCTCAAAACTACACAGCCTGACTCATGACTCAGGACAACGTCTACTGCCGGTGTCAACACTGATAGAGGACACTGGTTGAAATAAACCTGTCATGTTTTGGTTCTGGCGTGCCACTTTGACAGCATCGGTTACTTAGTTACCAGTGTCAAACATGACACCCTGGCCTTCGGATTGCAAAGTCGACAACAACACCGTGCAACCCATGCCCGAATCAGCGATGGATCGGAGGTTCGTGATTTCTTGCTCTGTGACCATATCCGCTCCCTTGATCCCTCGTGTGTAATTTTCATCATCGACCTCAACAATTAAATCCGGAAGCTGGGGGGAAGCGTTGGCCACAGTGCCTGAAGGTTCCCCCTTCGATTTTTTTTCCGCCATGTTTTTTTCCGCAGTATTATGTTCCGAATCAGTTTGGGTTGAGGTGTGTTGGGCGAAGGGGGGGTTAGGGAGCGCGCAGGGGCATGCGGCTGGGTGGGGATGGGGGCGGGTCCCACACATGGTCTGCAAAGGTGGTAATGGGGGGATGGGCAAACCGAGCAATTGCTAAGGATATCTTCGGTCACCTTTGCTGCACTTGCTTGTGGGCGAATGAAACTTCATCCACGTGTGTGCAAAGCATCGCATCCAGTGTGCGATTCCCGTCCTGGTGAAAATAAACTAATAGACCAAATACAACGCAGGCATCACCTCTCGAAACTTTCATTCCAGCGGTCTTCGTTTGAATCCATGCGTAGGTAAAAGCCGTAGATCGGCACTCTGCACAGCAAACACGCTTCCATCTTGGAGGAAAACCCCGGGGTTCCCTTCATGCTTGTCTATTTCAACCCACTTGCTTGGAATGACAACGTGGCCTTCCTTTCCCGAAATAAGAATTGCAGCATCAATTTGTTTGTACTTCTCCCATTCAGTGGTGCAATCCGACGCGCACAAAGTGACAAGAAGGTTGTGCGAGCCATACCAAAATTCCCACCACGCCACAACCAGAGTGAACCAACATGTACAAAGTGACGAAAGGGTTGCTGGAGCGATATCAAAATGAACACCGCGCCACAAAGATTGATACAGATACACAGTTGGAAAAAGTCAAAAGACAATGTGCGCCGAGAGACATAGGCAGACACATAGACAAGATAAAGACAGATAGACAGACAGACAAGATAGATAATATAGGCGGATAGAGAGATAGGTAGATAGATGGACGGAAAGGAAGTAAGACGGACAGATATCTGGATAGAGAGTCGGAGAGACCGACAGACAAACAGACAGACAAACAGACAGACAAACAGACAGACAAACAGAAATAGATAGGTAAATGGACAGACCGACTGACGGACGGATAAATAGGATAGGATAGGATGGGATGGGATGGGAAAGGATGGGAAAGGATGGGAAAGGATAGGATCGGATAGGATCGGATAGGATCGGATAGGATCGGAAAGAATGTGACGGGATCGGATTGGATGGGATGGGATGGGGTCAGGATAGGATAGGATGGGATGGGATAGGATAGGACAGGTGCAAATACAGACAAATACATGGATAGATCGAGCTGTTGGCCATGCTGTCTGCAGCCAGTAGGTCTGCATGAAGTGAGCGCTGCATGCATTGGAGCATCGAGTGAATCGAGTCCGTTCAGTAGTCGTGCATCCGGTGAGTGTGTCGGTCACTGATCAGCGGTTTGCGTTGCAACCCATAAGATTCAACAACCCTTCCTATTTTTAAAACTCCCGCCGCCGATGACACGCACAGAAGTGTGACATGCTTTTTGTGTGTATGCCAATAGGGTTGCGCCCCAGGTGACTTGTTCAGTGTCTTTAGAAGGGGTTCGATGGCTGGTGTCAAGCCGGCTAAAATTCATTTGGTAGAGCATCTGGCTGTCGAGTTTGCAGAGATCAGATGGTCCCTGGTTCGATTCCGGGTGGCCGGATTTGCTTGTCGCCATGTGTGGATCAAGAGCTGGCAGATGTTTTGATGTGTTTTGGGCACAAGCAGGGATTCGAGCCCGGGTCTTGGTCCTGTGGTCCCTTGATCCTCTGGTCCCGCAGCCCCTGGGTCCTTACCCTCCTCATCCTGGTCCTTTACCCGTCTCATTCTTTGATCTCCGGAACTAACCCGTTCTGAGCCCGAAAACAACTTTGAATAGGGCACAAACCAACCTTTAATAAGACCTAAACTAAACCAGCCGTCCTACATCCCTAAAACAAATTGAAAGAAACGCCATAAAAAATATCCAAACAATTCCAACTAAGCTTTAAAATGACACCTAAAAACTTGAGCCAATGTTTTTTTTTGTTTTTTTTGGTGCCTTTGCAGGTTTGATGAGCTTGTCTGATGTTAAAAAGAAAGACATTATTTACAGTGTTTTGTGTCATTTTCATTCAAAAGTCACGTCCCCGTCCCCAAAAGAAATCCCCGGAAACAGTCGGACAATTTAGCTTGAACAGTTTCATTGCTGAACAAATTTTTGCCTGGTTTAGAGGCTATCAGAGTTGTGAACGATATGCGGCCCATTCGCTATCGAATTGTAGTACTCCTTTTCTGCAAGTGGCACAGCAATTTGGTTTCCCGTGGCAACACCCAGCACTTGAACCAGTACAAGATCCCACAAAGCAACAGACCATCTAAGCCCTGAATGCAACAAAGGTAAGGGAAAGCAGAAGGCAATGAACAACATGAAGTCCCTGAAGGACATGAAATCATGAAGTCCGTGAAGAAGATGAAAGGCATGAAGATGATGAAGGGCATGAAGTCAATGAAAACCATGAAGTGAGAGATACACTTTTGGTAGATCAACATTGCTACATGTGTAGTTTGCAGTTTTGAATCTGTAGCCTGTAGCTAGCAGACATGTTGTTGCAATCAGTGGCAAAACCATATATGTCAGTCATTGGTGCCACGTGTGCATGTGGGATATCGGGATGATTTCAGATATATACCCCTTATCGACTCTTATATCAGAAAATCTTGATTGTCCATGCGTAGTTTTTGCTGTAAAACCTAGGTCTTGGACCCCTTTCCATCACAAAACATTGTACATATTAGTATTTTGTGAAGGTTTTGAATTAAAACCCACGTCCCCATGAACCCCCGTTTTGGAGAGAGTAAAATTAAACCCTCAACCAGCACTAAACAACCCCATGCACTACATAACAAAAACCGAAATAGATTTTAAAACTACACCTAAACAAAGTCCAAACCAAAATTCAGTAGATCTTAAAACAATCCGAAGGAAACACCAAACCAGCATTAAATTCACACTACAACAACTTTAAACCGACACCAAACAAACACCAAACCAACCCCAAATCAACACTATAGCACACGCCGAAGTAAATTTTAAAAGAATCCTTACAGGAAACCTGAAGCAACCAAATGTAAACTTTAAACCGTAAAACAATTAAAAAAAACACACGCCCAAACTAACCGTACAGAAAATTTAAAATAAACCAAAAGTAATCCCCAAATACACCCCAACCAACCTGAAACAGATCCTAAAACTAATTCTAGACAATATGTTGCAAATATCACTAAATCGTGCAGATAGCATCCTGTGTAGCACAGATGCTGGCTCCAAGATGCTGCGAGCACGGTGCAAGCAAGGGATTCAAGGCCAAAACGATTTAAATACCATGCAAACTGCATAATTAAATTCCAACACCCTGCAAATGTTGTGCAAATAAGAGATTTCAACCGCACATAAAATTCAAAAATTCAAGGCCAAAACGCTCTAAATATCATGCATAATGCATGTTTAAGTGTCCAAACCCGGCACGTATTGTACAAATAAGAGATTTCAGCTGCAAAAGGTTCCAAGTACAGATTCTTATTTTTTTTCCCAGTGTCTTATTTTTTTCCGAGAGTAGGGGAGAGTTTTTTTTCCAGTAGTCATTTTTTTTCAAGTGCCTACCCGGGAAAGAGAGAGCGAGAGAGAGAGAGAAACCCTGTATATTCAACACTTGCGTTTTCCATGCAAATGTAAGGGGACAACAGGTGCAACAACATACAATTGAGGGTTGGACCTAAATCTCCCGTGTTTCAGGTGCTTTGGTAATGTTTCCATCACTGGCTAGGAGTAGTGGTTTGACAACTGGTTGAGGCAACGTCGAAAATAGGTACATCTTGTGGGTGAAGTTGGTTGCGTGGATTGTTCTCTAGAATCTGGGTATGAAAATGGTCCATGGACAACCGCGCCAACATCATTCGCAAACAGCCTTTGTTTCCGCAGAATCTCTAAGGTGTTGTCGTGATCTTTGTTCATATTGATTCATTTTCTGCATGATTTTGGCTCGTCAGGTGACGAAAACGTCTCATTTGGATGGCCCCGAAATTCGGCCCCATTTCGGCTTAGGTTTCCAGAGCTGCTAGCGCCACCGGGCACACGGGTCGAAGCGGGCACCATGGCTGGCGCCGCCGAAGTGTCAAGTTTTACACTGGGTGTGCTGGTGCCAGGTTGCTCGGCACCAGGGATTGAATGCATTTTATTAGCGATGAAGGTGGTTTTGAAATTATGGAGGACTTAATGTAATGTGAATGTGATCAGTTGATACTGTATTGGCAAGTGAGGTGCCGAAGCTGGCAGATTGATCGGGAAACAAGGTGTTGCACTCAGGATTTGGATGTGCAGCTTATGTTTTTGGACTGGTCCATGACACTGGCTACGCTGAGGTTCAGGATTGAAGCAGATTCGGGACATGTCGCAGTGCAAAGTGCAATTAGGTCATGCCCTGAAAGTGAGGGAGTGAGCCGATGGAGATGATTTTCGGCACCAGAGCATTTGCAGTCTCAAATGCTAAGGCCAAACCCCAGATTCTCAAGGGAACAGGAGATGTGATATCAGTGGACCTACCGTCGAACACATGGCTAGCGCAATTCATGCGCCAGAGTCTCAGAGTTGTAGTCGTTGCTCGCTTGATCTTGATGATGTGGTTGTTGTTGTTGTTGTTGTTGTCGTCGTCGTCGTCGTCGCTTTCGCTTCTTTGTTGCCCTTTCTAGCCTGTTCCTGTAGACTTTGATATAATAAAATTGTTGAGCAATGTGTTGTTTCCGAATCTGCTGCAACAAACATCTCCCTGGCCATAAGGATAGGAACCAGGCTTTTCGACAAAGCAGCACAACAAGTCCATGCCTTGGAGTTGCTGGTCATTTAGATTTCGGTTTGATCAAGCACTTGATCATTTTGTCACCGGCACCCAGGAGCGTGTGCAATTGTCTGTTGCTTTTCCCAATGGTTACGTTGGACGTGTGATCGGCAAAGGTGGGTCTCGAGATGCTATGAATGTTGGTGGCGCTGTTGTGTGGCTTTCTGTATCGATGACATATTTGTAGCATTTTGTAGCCTTACGGCCCTACCCTTTCTGAAGAGTTATCATTTTGGTGGCACCGTCGTCGTGCAAAAAATTGGGATCGCAGGTGGTTCAACCCTGAAGATCATCTCCGATCAGACTGGCGTGGAGATGAAGGTGCTGAAGGATACAGTTAGTGACCAGGTGCCTGCGCCAGAAACCAAAGAAACATCAAGGGACTAGTAGAAACAGTGGAAAATTGTAGTAACATGTAGTAACCCTTGACAGCTTATTTGGCAAATGAACACCTACCGACCTACCAATACTTCACAATATTCACCAAGGATTTCCGATGATTTCCGTCAAAAAGGCGAGTTGAACGGCAGCCACATCCCCAAAGATCTCTCGCCAGGGGGACCGGGTTGGTCATCTTACTGGAATTCCCAACCAGCTCGGAGCCGCCATCCGAATTGCGTTGAATGCGGTGCGGCTCCACATTGGGCGGTCACGATTGGGACAAGGGGACAGGGTCAAACGTTTCAGAGATCAAATGATGGTCGTTGAGTTTCTCGTCTCGTCATGTCGGCTGCAATTTAGTGGCCTACTTTTTGCGGAATCTTTTTTTTTCGTATCTCGGAGGATGTTGCCATGCATGAACAGTGGGAGGGTGGAGTTGTGTCCGGTTTTGGTTGGAGATTAAGACTTAAGAAGTGATAAGTGACCATGACCATTCTGGTACTGTCGGCTCAAAAGTTGATACAAACTCCATATGTACTGCGTTGTTTGTGTTTTTTTTGGTTGGATTGCTGGGCAGTGCGACAGATGATGAGCACAGTCTCAAGTAGCAACCCAAAGAAAACCGTAGATTTTTCACATTAGCTGGGAATCTTGTTATGTGAGGGCTCACTTCATATGGATTGGAATATTGGAGTCTTTTTTTCACCCGTGCTGTGCCGCGAGAAAAATAGCCATGACAGAAGGACTTCGTGCATTGTGCGCACAGTGCCGAAAACCCCTCTGTGGTGCGGTGCTGGCAAGCGGTTGCAATCACGTGTGCCTGGGAATGTTTTGAAGAGCTTGGGATGGCATGGAGTGAACCGAGGAAGTTGGGCTTGTGCCAAGACCTTCACCATTTGACCTGCGACAATTCTCGGCGTGTTGGAATCCAAATTTTTTGGTCATCTTTCAGGGTGAACTAAATCTTGACGCGCCAGCATTGCCCTGCCGCAGGTTTCACAAGCCTTGCTTTGTGGCAGGTGCCAGCTGCGGCCACTGTGGAGAAACCTTACGCAGCGAGACCTCGTTGAGAAACCTGGTTGTCAAAAAAGGGGGACAACGGCGAGGGATGCGTTTATTTTTTCAGACTCCTTCTGACATTTCTGACTCATTCTGCATGATTCCGGCAATGTTTATCCGAGGGTTTGATCAGCACCATGGTCCTCGGATTCTGGGCCTTGCAATTATGTCTTTTTGGTTGGTTGCTTTCCGAGGCCTCTACAACTTATGCTGCGAAGAGAAGAGTGAATATGCTGCATATGCTGCGGATGTCATGGCTGCTGCAGCCAAACTGAGGGCATCACTCGAAGGTGCCGGATTTTTTTTGTCCAATTTGGTGACATATATTATATGACACACATATATATATATATATTATATAGAGTCTGAATAAATTGTCGTAATTTTCCGGGCTCAGCTCGATTCGACTTTCATGCGCAGGATTGCATGGGGTTCAACATGAGCCAACCTTCAATGAGTCTTCTGGTTTGGTCCATGTGAAGATGAATCGGTGCTTCACTGTGGCAGGCATGGAGGATGCGGATGGCACGATCTTTGACCCTGACTTTGTGGTACAGGATGGGATGGCCCAGGAAGTGAGGATGGGAGCCATGCTGTGCCAACGCCAGGAGTCCGAAGGACGTGGGGTGGACGAAGTGGCCTTGCTATGCTTGAAACGTGAGAGGATCAACTCCAAGAGATTCTTGGTGAAGATGTGTGCGATTCTACTTGTGGAGTCCTTGTGAGTCTTGATGGATGAGTATTTAGAGGATTTTGTCCTTCATGCTTTGTCAGGATAGGCTATGATTCAACTATGATGTGGTTTCATGTGGTTTCATTACTCCTCTCTTTTTCATCAACCCAAGAACCCTCAGACAGATACTTCATTTCCTCATCCCGAAGCATCTTTTGTGCAGACTGTAGAGTTGATATGGGGCCAGTATATACAGTGGTACAGGGTTGTTTTTAACCCATTGAGCATTGGCCCAATAAAAAATGCTGCTGGTTTACCAAGGCCGGCCCCTTCCTCCAATTTTTAAGGGATTGTCTCGCGTGTTCTTCAATGACGCCAAATGTTTCGTTGTGCAACAGCCCTGTGCTGCCCAACAAAATGGCAGGACCTGGCAGGAGTTTCTAGACAAGAAAAGGTGTTTGCCAAACAAAGTGGGTGCTTGCTTCTGAAATAATCTTTGATTATTGCATCGTCAATGTGGGTGTTGTAAGTGTGCATGAAAATGGGGGAATCCGGGATACCCAAGATTGGCTACTTGAATAACTTCAATAGGCAAAAAAATGATGAACCATAGGACTTGGGTTACCCAACTTATCCCTTTTCAGACAAAGCCATATGCAAAATATATTATTTGCCAAGCTTTTCTGGCCAAGCTTCATAGCCTCAAGTCATGCCAGAAAAACTCCCAAGGAGAAGAGCTGGACTCGGAGAAATCAAGGCTCCACACATCACTCGAGACGCTGGAGCACCAGCAGAGGAAATTGCGGGTCCGACAGAGGATGACAGAGAAGCTCCAGGAGATTGAGTGTTTTTTTTGGAAGGGCCCCACCATGAAAGTCATGAAAGGCCCCCCAGTAGCAGGTTGTAACTGGGGGACACTCCATTGAATTGGCAGTTGGTTTTCGGGTGATTGGGAGTATGTATCGCACTGCGGCGGGGTTGATCCAGTTGCTCATCCAGTTGCTCATCCTGGTGTGGTCGGCTGTTCTGGCGCGGCTGTTTACTTCCAGTCACCCACAATGCAACTTGTGCTCCTGAGGCATAAAACTAGGAGTGCCAGGGTCACTATGGCATCAGTAACTTTTGCAGAGCCAGGAAGAGCAAGCAAGCGAGAAGAATAAGATCCAACGCTGCAATGAGTCATGGTTGCACCTTGGGAGGGTCCCATTCTCGTCTGGGATGATGCTGCATCGTGGTAAAGTTTGGCAAGTTTTACTCAGGACGATCACGAGAAAATGTTAGCTGAGCTGAACGAGGTTCGGACTGGCAGCACCTGGGTGGTGCAGGGTGGTGCAGGGGTTTGAGAGGTTGTTTCAGTCTGTTCCGTTTGACTGACTTGAGTGGTTCTACGTTTGACATGCTGTGGTCCCTTTGGAGGGAATCACAATTTGAATGTAGTGGTGTCCTCGCTTTGAAAGAAGGCATGGAGTGGGTGAATTTATACTCACACAGTCCACAAATATGGGTGATGCAAACGTCATCGATCGAGGTGCGGCAACGTGCTACTATTGTGGAGTATTGGGACTTGCTTCGTAATGGTCAGGACTGAGTTTTGGGAACGGATTGCCACCCTGCCGTCAATCGAGTCACGCAGTGTGAAGAATGGTGGCAAGGAGGATGAAGCTCTCCAAAAGCTCACGGCGCTCATTAGAGACTTGGAGAGAATGCTTGAACTGACAAGTCCTGGGAGTCTTTCAAACTGTGAACCAGCAGCGTTGGCCAAGCTGAACAAAACTGCCATCATAGTGCTAAGATGATATATTTCGAGCGAATGGGGCTCAGTTGTGAGGCATGATCTCGCACCCGTGGAAGATACTTGCGCACATGGCACGACTGAGAGATCACTATCGAAAGTTGTCTGTGTCTTGGCTGTATTGTGGCATGGGCAAAAAATGCCTTGCATGCTGGAACAAATTTGAGTCATTTTTGCAATTTTGCGTGTTGGGGCTGTGCACCACAGCAGCCGATGCAGATCCGCTTTGGAACAAGGACAACCACGACCGTGAGCGTGCCCAAGCAGATCGGCAGCTACAGCATTTAAATCGCGAGCGGGACGAGTTGGAAAGGCACGGAAGGGGTCAAAGGCTGCTGGACCAAATTATGCGCTCCCTTTGTCCATTCTTTAAAGTCTTGAAGATTTCGTAGATTTCTTGAGATACACAGGCCCAGATACATACATACATGCATACATGCATGCATACATCCATCCATCCATGCAAAATGCATGCAATGCATGCAATGCATGCGATGCATGCAATGAATGCAATGCACGCAATACATGCAATACATGCAATACATGAAATACATGCAATACATGCAATACATGCAATACATGCAATACGTGCAATAGGTGCAATAGGTGCAATAGGTGCAATAGGTGCAATACGTGCAATACGTGCAAAACGTGCAATACGTGCAATACGTGCAATACGGGCAATACGTGCAATACGTGCAATACGTGTAATACGTGCAATACGTGCAATACGTGCAATACATGCAATACATGCAATACATGCAATACATGCAATACATGCAATACATGCAATACATAGATACATAGATACATAGATACATAGATAGATAGATAGATAGATAGATAGATACATACATACATACATACATACATACATACACACATACACACATACACACACATACACACATACACACATGCACACATACACACATACACGCATGCACGCATGCACACATACACACATACACACATACACACATACACACATACACATATACACATACATACTCATGCATACACATACATACACATACACACACACATACACATACACAGACATACATACACATACACGGACACACATACACACATACACACATACATAGACCATACATAGACCATACATAGACCATACATAGACCATACATAGACCATACATAGATCATACATAGATCATACATAGATCATACATAGATCATACATAGATCATACATACATACATACATACAGACAGACAGACAGACAGACAGCCAGGCAGGCAGGCAGGCAGGCAGGCAGGCAGACAGACAGACAGACAGAGAGACAGACAGACAGACAGACAGACAGACAGACAGACAGACAGACAGACAGACATACATACATACATACATACTTATACAGACATACATACACGCATGCATACACGCGCGCCCAGATACATACATACATACATACGTACGTACGTACGTACGTACATGCATTCATGCATCCATCCATCCATCCATCCATCCATCAATCCATCAATCCATCAATCCATCCATCCATCCATACGTCCATGCATCCATGCATCCATGCATCCAGGCATCCATGCATCCAAGCATCCATGCATCCATGCATCCATGCATCCATGCATCCATGCATGCATCCATCCATGCATGCATCCATACATGCATTTGCATACACATACGCATACACATGTACATGCACATGTGCACAGTAATAAATATGGTCTCCCTGCTACATTACATTTGAACATTTTTTTTCAAAAATTGAATTTCATGTACAATGGCGTCGCCGAAGGTCCGTGTGGAGGGCGCAGAAGCGGAAGCTGATGGGGTGAGCTCCAGGGGAAATTGGAGCTTTGACAGCCTTGGTGAAGGTTTCCACATGAACACAGGAATTGTATCGTCCCAGCATCATTTTTTTGGTGTATGACATAGAACTGTGTGAAACACCTGATGGAGTCATGATAATCATGATAATCATGATAATCATGATAATCATGACCTGGTCCTTCTTTCACAGCTATCGCCAAGGCATGTCTTCTCAGTTAATGAATGCATGCAGCATCAAATTCCAGCTTCGAAAAGGGAGTGCTGCCTCTGCTGCTGCCGGACTTCTTTAGCTTACCAAATCAGGGCTGTCTCCTCATCCCGCTTCTTGCATTCATCCAGAATGGTGAGCCTGCTCAAGTGCTTAGACTGTCTGCGCCAAAGCCAAGCTTTTCGTTCAATCCGGTGGTTGTGTTGGGCTGGTTGAAGCTGGATTCTTGTACCGAGGTCAACGGCAGTACGCCTGCCCCTGCCCCGCAGCCCCATCCCCAATTGAGGGGCTTTGGATTGGCACGTGCTCGCGGTCCACACACGTTGTTTTCATTTGCGGCTGCTTGCCCATCCCAATGCTAAGGATGAACAACTACCAGGAGTACAATAGCTATCGCGGCCAGTCCGGCCAAGGTATGCAACAAGGCATAAACAACTGGCCAGAGGCTGAGGAAAGGAGGAAAGCAACTGAAAATCATATTGTTGTGGTGGTATTCATGTGGCTGCAAAATCCACTCTTTTCATGGTATTTTGGCCCCAAGGCGCGCACAAGCTGGTGGAAACAGCACCGGTCCCATGGGTGGCCCCATGGGTGGACCCCCCGGTCCCATGGGTGCTGGTCTGACACAGGTCAGGCCGGCCAGTGGTACCCCTGGGGAGGTGCAGATTCACATGGTCATCCCATCAAAGCTAGGCACTCAGGCTCTCAGGTCAGCAAAGCGCCCAGCGAATTGACTGCATTGACTGCGCCTGAGGTTTGTCGGCTGTATCCTGGGCAAGGAGGGCTCCCAAATCAAGTCAGCAGCCCCAGATGCACTGCATCGCAGGATCTACAGCGCAGATTGTATCGTTATATCGTTGCTCCCAGTGACCAACCAATGAAAAGGCAACACATCTTCCGGTTCGGCTATATAATATACATATATGTACACAAACGCAACACTGCTGTTTTCGCCCCACTGGCACCCATTTGGTTGGACTGAGGCAACTGCTTTCAGATACAGGATGTACACACTTGTCAGCCTGGAAGCCTGCTGTGGATGGAGATCAGGTCTTGTACTTGAGTCCATTGAGTCCCTGAAACAAGGTTCACAGAAAAACCACATTCTGACAGTGGATCTTAACCATGTGCATTTTGGATCTTCCAGTTTTTGTATCTTAACTTAATCTTAACCAAGCTTTATGGCCCTTCTAGCCTTCTCATTGGATCACCTGAAGGTCGCGCCCACTCCTGCCTTTTCTCGTGGCTCGTAGCGGCACAGCTGGACACACACATCTGCCACGGCACGTCGCCATGAAGAAGGGCCGCGCCGCCAAGCAATGCAAGATGCGCATGGCGCAAGGTTGTAGCGTGGCATCGCTGCTGAACTGTGCTGACAATAGTGGCGCCAAGATTTTTGGCGAAAAATCATGGTGCGATCGACATGTCATGCGACATAGACAAGGAACGAAAAGTAAACCAGCATGGCAAAAGCAACATAGCGGGGAGTAACTTTTCTTTTAGGTGATCCCATGGCAAAAGCAACATGGCTCCTTGCAGGATTTGATTTCCCTGGAAACGCCCTCGACCATGATTTTCCGATCTGGCTTCATTCCAGCTGTACTCGCTGATGTGTTTCCGAGCGCTAAGGAACCTCTACATCTTTGCAGTGATTGGCATTGGTGGACGCTTGAACAAGCTGCCCAACTGTTCTCCCGGAGACCTGGTCCTCTGCAGTGTGAAGAAGGGAAAGCCTGAGCTCCGAAAGAAGGTCCTGAAGGCAGGGACTTGACCGAAAGTAAGTAGGGCCAAGTAGGGCAACATGACCAGATTGATGAGATATAGAAGAACATCCTGAACATTCCTGAAATCCCATGAAAAGTGACATGGGCAAAGGATTGTCATTAGCCATCATGTCTATGCGCATGCTTCCTGAAATACAGATGTGAAGCGTGAGACTTGGATCTTGCCTCAGGGTGTGGTGATTCGGCAGAAGAAGGCGTGGCGACGACGTGAGGGCGTCTTTGTGTACTTTGAGGACGCTGCGTGCCCTTGATCCGCGACCAATAGATGGAAGATCGAGAGAGTGTTGGTGTGTCCCACGTCCAAAGCATGAAGGTATAGCAGCCAAGGAGTGCACCGGCAACAAAGGTATAGCAACCCCAAGAAAGATGGAGCAATTAGAAAAGTCAAATCACACCCAATTTTCTGCATGCACCCGGTGTGGTCCAAGTTTAGTTTTTACACCCAGCCATATCACTGTAGCCAGGACAACGCAGGAGTCATCGTCAACGACAAGGGAGAGATGAAGGGATCTGCCATCCAGGCCCGTTCTGAGAGGTTTCATGTGGGTTTGCCCATGCGCGGAGTGTGTACCAGTGTACCCAATATCCACAGGTTCATCACCACCGTGCCACGCTGGGCGTCCCACGTAAGACGTACGCCAGGGCCCTGTGGCGAAGGAATGCGCCGAGCTGTGGCCGAAAATTGCCTCCTGCGCACCGGCCATTTGCTGAGCTCCCGGATCCCGCGGAGCAGATGGGGACCAGCGCGAAAAGAACGGTGGATGGGGACCCTGGGATGGCCATTGCTGGTGACATCTGGTGACCCATTGGACCACTGGGCAGTTGGAGTTGGCCAAGGGGGTTGATTCCTTCACATGCCGGCAAGTAGCGATATTTGTTGGTGGCAGGGTATCCTTGTATTGGAGCCCTGAACACGAAGCCGTTGTTTGCGCATGAGTCTGTTTAGCCTTTTTCAAGCTGGTTCACGTGGCTTTTTTTGTGGGTTCACTTCTGCAAACCGCACTTCTGTGGCGCCGTGCCAAGGTGTCAAAAAAAGAAGCTTACGGCGATGCAGATCGACGCGTCATCATGATCGGAGGTGGGATTGCATTGGATTCCTGGAGTATGTTGGAAGGAACGAAACTGCATCAAACTGCGTCAGATGACAAGCAAGGATGGCTCAGATATGCCTAATGAAATCCTAAGGGCCTAGATGCTCTTTTGTTAATTGCAGGACTCCCGGAGTGCACCAAAGCCCAGGAAGCGGTGCAAAGCCCAAGGGCTGAGGGAATCGTTTCTGGATTCCCATGGATCCCTCAGATGCCACCACCATCACGGGGTGGAATCTTTTCTGATTTGTGCAGCTCGAGGTTTGGCAGATCTACTCTGATAATGCACAGCAAGCTGGTTCGGAGGCAAGCCTCAGCTGCATCATGATGGCGGGGTTGCTCAGTCTGATCATATGCGCCCTGACGGAGTACGTTTGAGGACCCCTTGCATCCCCTTGCTTGGCGTCGGGGTGTTTTGGCGGGGTCAGAACTCCGTTGCTTTATCCTACGTATATATTGCATTCACACTTGCGCACCCAGAAGAACGCACACACACACACATGCGGTCGCGGTTTTTTGTTTCTCTGAGAGAGAGACTCTCCTGCAAGCAGCGCACGATTTAAACACCCAAAGCCTGGAGTTGCGCAAGTTGGCGATATCCAAGCATCCGCCGATGTTCACTTGGATTTGATTGAACTTTCAGAGAATCCTATTTTTGAAGGGTCACCTGACACTGAAGCGGGGCTCTTCACACTTCACTTTGCACTTCTATTGAGGTGCCTGTTGAGAAAGCTGGCGCTGTCATTGGGAAAGAGGCTGGAGCTGGCAGGATGTGTAGTTTTACCAATGAGATCCACCCAAACCATTTTAGGGGGCAGTCGTCACAAGACCCAGGTTCGATCTAAGAATGGTTTGCCGTTCCCTGTACTTCTGATGGCATAGAAGGGGCCATTTTTTCTCCTTGTTTCACACATCCAGGGAGCTGGACAGATTTCCTGATGCCTTGGGTCCCACATGTTCGACATGGAACCGTCACAGGGATCGAACCTCAAGCAGATGCGGGAAAAGCCGTTACCCCGGGGACCGGTGGCGATTGGTTGCCAGAACAGTCATCTGACTGCTAAGCAGAGCCAGACTTTGGTGCTGGACCTCTGAGGTTCGGTTTGAAAGTACTGCTGTCCAAAGAAGTTGTAGAAGGTGCAGGGCCATGTTGGCTTACTATGGCTTACTGACAGTGCTCACTGCACAGATGCGCTTAGCTGCTAATTTAGCCATTATGGGCAACAACCATACAGAAACCCACTCATTGCAAAGGTCAGATGACCATCTCTCACTATCAGCTTGGCTAGTTTGGCTGTATGACGATCCTTCCAATCTTGGATGTTTCAGGCTTCAGACCCTGCACGATGAGTGGGTTGCAACCTCAGTGCGCTACCAGCTCCAGCACATATGCGCGAAATTATGTACGAACTAT